CTGTGTCCGCAGGAGATCCGGAAGGTTGTGCAGACGCTGGAGCAGACGGCTCGGGAGATCCTCACGCTGCTGCAGGGCGTTCACCAGGGCGCCGGCTTCCAGGACAGTAAGTGCGGCGGAGCCGCCTTAGGCCGCGGTGCGGCAGTGCCTCCTTCCTAGGGAGAGCCAAAAATACGTCGTTCCTGGGGAGCGCTGCTCTGTAAGCCTCTCCGTTCCCGCGAGGAACCTCCGCGGGACGCAGGGGACGTGGGTTCCCTGTTAGGGTCACGCGTTTCCAGTTGCCCGTAGGCCCTGCTGAGGTGTCTTCCAGGGTGGATTCCTCAGAGGCTGCTGTGCGGGCTGCAGCGGCGCCCTTCAAGCCAGATGAGTAGAAAAGCTGCCATCCAGCCTCAGGCAACGCCGTTCCTCCCCGTTCTGATTCCCTCCCTCCTCGAGGTTTTACTGTCTTAGTGTGGAAAAGTATGTTGTTGCTACACTTGTTCATTTTCTGCGTTGGTGAATTGGCTCATAGGTTTCGCTCTAACTAGCATGCGTGTAGATTCTTATATCCTGCTAACTGTAATATAACCTGATGGGCCTTTGTATCTGTAGTCCCCTCCTCAACCCTCCTCCACCCCTCAAAAAAGCTGTGATGCTCTGGGGAGTGAGCAGGATAGTGTGGGAAGGGACATCTTTAATCTGCTATGTATTACATTTACTTGTGTATGCGTGCATGCAGGTACATGTGAATATAAAGTTGTACTTTGAGTTAATACCTGACTCCCAAAACGTAAAGGAAAATTACAAAGGCTGGTACAGCAAGAGAAATCCTTGACATATGCTTGAGTGACAACTGGAATTGTGCTGTCGCTTTTAGGTTCAAGTTGTAGCTGTAGCTCCCTTACTTTTGAGCCAGAAATTTTTAGCATGTTCGAGGTAATGTTTCTGGGCCAACCCGTTTGCTCAAAGGGCATGAAATGTAGCTACAGACTTGAATGCTGAACGCGCTGTCCTTGTCCCCCCTATTTGTAGAGTTAGTGCTGAAGCTATTGGAATAAGCAGCTTTCTTATTTCAGTATGCGATTTAAAAGCCATTCAGTCATGTCAATGAACTTCTGGGGAGAAACAACCATTCTGATCTTTTGGAAACTCTTGAGAGGGACTCGGGGAGAGAAGAAATCTGGCAGGCTACCATCAGAAGGTGAAGAAAAGAAAGAAAACCTTCATCTGTTCCTGTTTTATTCATCTAGAGTGTTGGCTGGTTGTTTGTCAGCCTGATGACACTCACCACTACTTTTGTGCTTCAGCTGGAGGCCTGCGATTTCTGTAGTCTCCTGTTTGGTAACCACTAGGTATGTGGTTAGCAGTGTGCAGCATCTGACACTTGACCTCCACTGGCAAGTATAACTTCCTGCTGCTTAGGAAATCTACCAGTGCTAAAAATTAGAGTTGCTAATTGGCTAATTTAGTCAAACATGCTAAGTAAAGCATGTTTGACTAAAGCTGAGTAAAACCATGGATGTTGTGACAATCATTTTGCATGGTACCATCTTTAGGTTTTTTTTTTTTTCCCAGTATGTATTAGTAGAGACCTGTATCTGCCTCCGTGTATGTTGATTTATTATTTAATTTTAAGAGGGAGCTGGTCCTGAATCTTGCAGAGACCTGTGGAATAGTTTAAGTACCAAAAAGAAGACTGCTCTGCTTACAATTTTTGCAATATCAAAGATAATGAATGCAGGTCTAATAGGCTGGGTGGGAATTAACATACGATAATAGGCCTGTCAGTTTGACATCAATTTCAAGCAAAATAACAAAAGTCAGTAAAGGATTTGATTAATAAAGGTTAATAGCAGAGTAATTTAATACCAATTAACACAGAAATCTTTATGGGGAAAACTAGCACTTGTCAAATGATGTGTATTTAGACTATACTTTTACTTGATAATAGTTGTGGTGCTGTAGTGTAGTGCACTTAAATGTCTGTTTGGCTTAGTATGACATTTTGTCTGCTGACTTAGTACAATATTTTCATTAAGAAACTAGAATGGTGTAAAACCTGTATGATTTTTTTTTTTTGGCTAGGTCAAAAAGGGATAGCTGATGATTCTTAAAACTATGAAAGAAGGGCATATTCATTACAACACAGTTCTAGCTAAATTTTGCAGCATCAAGTTTTGTACACTCTTGCATTTATTTATTCTAAGATGTAAGAAAAACTACTGATACAGTTATTAAACGTTTACAGGTGACAGAAGAGTAAATAATGATGCTTGGTTAGTGCAGCTGTATTTCCATAAACAGTTTAAACTGGTGCTGCTGCCAAAAGAAATTGTACACCTTATTGTGCCTCCTTCCTTGTGCCAGCATGAGTGGGATATTACTGTCTTTCTGTGGTAGCTTACTATTCTGTCTTTTGTGATTAAATCCTGCGTCAATAATTGAGGTAGAACAATGAAAAAATAAGGGAGGTAACAGAGAGCCAGTGAAAAAAGTTAAAGGATTTAGAACAGGCTCCGTCCTACCAAAGAGCAGGGTTAAGGGATGGCTTGAGCTCTCTTAATAGAACCACAAGATGGTTGGAATGGGTTAATAGAGGGTGTTTTGCTGTATCAAAGGGTAATATTTATAAGATCATATTGCATAATGGCTTTCCTTTGTTCTCTAGGCACTTAAAATATCTCTTGGCTAACCCTGTTTCCATTGAGTTTTCCCCCTGACTTCTTGTACTGCAGGGCAACCACCTACACCCAGACAACAGCTACTTCATGGCGACTGCCTCTCTGCATGTGCTCAGTAATAGACTTTACCCTTAGCTCGTGAAATACACTGTGGTTATGCTTAGCAACGCATCAGTGATGATATGTAAGGATGCACAAGGATAGCTTGGTGTTGGGAATTTTGTTTGTGTCTGTGCGTCATCAGGCACCATTGTCTGCAACTTTACAGTAAAGGCTGCTTTTCTGTCACAGATTCGTTTGACAGAAGCCAAAGTGCAAATGTGCTCTTCGTTCTGTCCCCAGTTGCCCTGTGACAGCTCGAGGGACCATGTTCAGAGAGTAATTCTCAGTGAGCTTTCACTCTAGCTGCCATATGAAGCACTTTCACCTTCTGCTTCCTGAAACTTTCATTTTTAACCTCCTTTTTTCTGATTGAGGGTGATGTTTGATTAGTTAAAACAAGTTTTTAAACAGATACTTAAAAAGTAAACTGCTGGTAGGAGTCATTTGATAAGTCATCCATGGCGACTTTCAGATTATTTAGTTGATGTGGATCCTATTTAAATAACCACAGCTTCTATACTTCAAGATGCTGAAGATGCTATTATGTTCACCACCTGCCTTTCTTGGGTTTTGACCAGGATTTCTGAGAAGGCTGCAGTTAAAAAGTACTGATTTGATGAGTTCTGGCAAGCTGTGGTTCTGCAGGTACAGCGTGGCTGTAATTCTTATTAGCGAACAGGAGGTGGCAGTGGGTGGTACATAAACAAGCGAGACCGTTTCTCTGCAGGAGTTTAATCCAGTGAACAGGCGAAAACTTGGTTCTTTCGAACAGATTGCTTGAAAGGGAGACTAAGACGTAGCTTCCTGGAGGGATGTTGCACCTCACATAACCTAACTCTGCCTGTTCAGAAAAAATATTATGAGACTTTAAAACAGAGAAAGAAAAGTTACTTTTCCTTTGACTGCCTAAGCTGTTTGGTGCTGCTTTGCGTGTTTGCGCTTTTTGGGGAGTGATTGCTGTGCACAGTGCAGTCCTATTGCTTGTGATTTGGCCATTGCTTTTGTCTCTTCTGAACTGCTGCGTCAGAGCTATTAGAGACAGAATCGTCCTGTTTCTCTCTTTGTAACACCTAAAACCCAACTAGTCCTCCCTTTCTCTTTACTCCATCCACTCAACTAAGACTCTAAACATACTTTCTTATCAGCTTGTGCCCTGATCTTTGTTGCCTCCTTCCTTCTACCAATGCCATACGTAATAGCCTTTTACCGCTCCAGAATGCTGCTGCGTGAATGGCTTTGTAGCATCTTGCTTTAATCATGTTACTTCTCTCGTTGAGTCCTTCCCTGGCACCCTGTTATCTGTTGCCATAGTTCTCGACTGTTTTATGTTTACAGGCCCTTGAACATTTACCGGGAAAGGCGTTTGCTCTGTATAGCGAGTCAAGGTCTACTAACACTCTACTTGCTTCTTGTAGTTACTTTTCACAACCCCTTAGACACCTGCAGACCACAGCTTTAAAATCACTGCTCTGTTACATCAGATACACCCTATTTGACCTTACACTCGAGGCTTTTTGCAGCCTTTCTGCATCCCTACTTGTCATTTCTCCTTCACCTTTGCTAATTTGTAGCCCTGACCAGTGCATGTAGCAGTGATTCTTGAGTAACACTGGGGCATCGTGTCTCAAGTTCAAGGGTAAGGACTAGTGTAGATTAGACAGCCTGAAGCGCAGGATGACTTTCCATCTACCAGTGACTTGTGGTATGACTGTGAATACCACTAAGACTATGTCAATAAGTCAGTCTTGGACAAAAGAGAGCCAGGTGTTCAGAGGAACATGGATAGAGCCAACTATATTAGAAAACTCTTAGCTTTGTTTACAACATTCTGTTGTTTGTCAAATACTGAATGTTGCACTGCTTCTTTTTCAGTACCAAAGAAATGTCAGAAGGCTCGTGAACACTTTGGTACAGTAAGAACACAGCTGGCATCTCTGAAGACCAAGTTTACTGATGATCAGTACTACAGGTGTGGAGGGTCACACGCAGCAAGACACGGATTTGAGATTTGCCAGGCCATAGGTGGCATAACTTTGGAAGAGTGATCTAAAGGTTTATGGGCCCGATGTTCAAAAAGCATGGGCTTTCTGTTCCAAAAAGTAACTAGTGGTAGAAAAGTGTGACTTTTGATCAACAAACTTGGAAATGTTTTTGCTCAAACTCTTTTATTTTTATTTTTTTCACTAAAAATATCCAGTATTTAATTCTTTTCCTAGAAACTTAAACAAATGAAATTAAACTTTAGGAAACTGATGTTCTATTGGAGTAGCCCTTGTTTCTGAGAGCAGAGCATTTGCTGTTCCGTTAATTTCAATTAAGTTGTTAGGATTTGGGTATTTCTGAAAACAGAGCCCTAAATCTGTCATCAGGTGGCTCTTTGATACTGTGGATTCTAAATGAAGTTGTCATCTTTGTATTTTGCTTGCTGCCAGAAAGGGACAGTATCTAGCAGGAACATTTCAAAGAATGAGAATCTTGTCAGCTGTAATCTGCTGACAGGAAATGGGAGGGAAGGTGCTGATTGTCTTTTCTTATGGACATGACAACCTGAAAAACTCAAGGAACTGGGTATGTGTGTGAGAGATGAGAGCAAATGCTAGTTTAACATAATATCCTAGGGGCTGAAGCTTTGGAGCGGCAAGGAGATGATTTTAAGGGGGAAGCTGGTGTGGCTTTGATAAATCACAAAGATCGCAAGGTACTATATGTAAAGTAAAGGTACAAAACGTAATGTGTACTGTAGGTAATTAAAATACTTTTGGTTTAAATCTTCAGTAAGAGATGCTACTTATTTTTACCTTGACTTGGTGTTTTCTTCAACAGATTTCACGAGCACTGGAGGTTTGTGCTACAGCGGTTGGTGTTTCTGGCAGCGTTCGTTGTCTACTTGGAGACAGAAACGTTAGTGACCCGAGAAGCTGTTGCAGAAATACTTGGGAGTAAGTTCATTTTGTAACTCAAAGGAAAAAGCTTGCAAAGTTTTTAGATGTTGTCACTGGCAAGGTGCAGGGAAATAGCAGAACATTATTTCTTCCCAAGAAATAGTTTATAACATTCCTCTGGTATTTGATTTCATTATATAATAATAACAAAATATTGTTTTTGAAGGTGGAAATCAGAAAACGTAATGTGAATAAAAGTATGAGCAGAGTTCTTCATGAATGAAGATTATTTATTCAAATTGCCTAAATCTTCCAAAAGAATAATACGAAGGTGACAGCTTATTTTTCTCACCTTTCTTTTTCCAGAGTTAAACAGGTGGGGAAAAGAGATCTAATCCTCATGTTGTAAGAGAACTGTCGTCTGAACGCAAAAAATTTGAAAAAATCAGTAAAATAATTTTTAAAAAAGGACTTCAGGCCTCTCTACTGTATATTAATGGAAATTCAGTTATTCTCTTGGATCAGTTGTAACCTATTTTGTGTCCAGTTGAGGATGTATCAGATGTTCATTCAAAATGCTGAGAAGCAGCAGTAATTACATCACATACAGGAAAAGGCTGACTTTTATTTTGTAATAGTATTTCATAAATTTGATATTTCAAATTAGCTACAGTAAACAAATGTAATTTCAACTTGCTGTTTTTGATCGTGTTCAGTATCAGTCTAGATTACTACTCTGTTTTTTTCTTAGTTGAAGCTGATCGAGAGAGAGGCTTTCACCTGGATATAGAAGACTATCTTTCTGGTGTATTAACTCTTGCCAGCGAGCTGGTAAGGAAGCTATTTATGCATATATCTGGATGAAACTGACCTAAACAGCGAGTAGCGCATTTGCTAATTTCCCCAAGTTGTTCCTGGAAGTTATGGTGTGTTGTGCTTGGGTCTGAACTTCTGGCAAACTGCCCTTGCCCCTCTGTCATGTCAGACTCATTCCTCATTGATATTCTGAGATTTAAACCGGTCACTTCACTGAAAATATGTAGGGCTCTGGTGAACAAAAAGGTAGATCTGCGTATAATTAGCCTGACTGCCTGGAAGAATACCGCTTCATTTTGTAAAGTAACAGATTGGAATACTGATGTGATTTGGGTGGATTCCTCTGCTGATGTTCTCCCATGCTGTCCTGTGCATCTTCCTCTTCTAGGCCAGACTGGCAGTGAACAGTGTCACAGCTGGTGACTATTCTCGTCCTCTCCGCATCTCAACTTTTATCAACGAGTTGGATTCTGGCTTCCGTCTCCTCAACCTGAAAAATGACTCCCTGAGGAAACGTTATGATGGCCTGAAGTACGACGTCAAGAAAATTGAGGAAGTGGTTTATGACTTGTCGATCAGAGGACTCAATAAGGAGGCAACAGGGGGTGTTGGTGGCGAGAAATGAAGGATGCTTGTTTTAATGGCATCATTGATTACCTCAGATGGTTGCCAATTTAGGAGGCATGTTAGCAAAGCCCTCCTGCAGTAGTTTAGAAGAACTGCAGCTGAAAGCTGCTCTCTATTTTCTTACAAAATGTGTAGTACGGGTGTTAGATCTCAAAATGTTTTGTAAAATCATGTCTAGGTTAGGGCAGCAGGCTCTCTGTTTCTAGTGAAATTTCTCTGTCAAAACACACGTTGCTGTTCTGTGCACAGCAGCAATAGCTGTCAGTAACTCTCATGAGCTTAAATTCTCCTTAGTTACATAGTGTTGCTTCACTGCTCTGGCAGTGATGTGCTTCAGCTGTTTCTGCTCACACACCTTTAAAGATGTGTGCAAATACATGTGATATTTTAAGAAACACAGTATGTAAATATCTATACGTTTTCTTAAGACACTGATTTTTTTTGCCTTTTTTCTTAAATTTTCACCCACTTCAGTAAATTGAATGGAAGAGATTTGCATAGCTGTTTATTAGCCAGATCTTTTAAAATGGTTTCAGTTAATGTATCAAAACCCCCTTATTTGAGAAATTAATGAGAAAATTCCTGAGATTTTTCTCAATTGGAACTGGCATATTGCACCCAGGTGCCCTCCCCTCCCCCTTAACTGAGAGTTCTGTTACCAGAGAGAGCAGGGTTTTCTGAAACATCTGCTTTCACTAGTTGGCATTTGTTTTACTGACATGAGTAAATGTTGAATTTCAGAATGATCACTTACCTTGAGAACTCTGTGCACCAAATTTCTTTTGGACTAACAAGATTGCCAAATAGAGAAGTGTTAACTGATAAACTGCAGGTAGCGTTTGAGTTCTGACAACCTAAATAGACCACGACTTCACCTGTTTCCTGGGATTAAAAACAAAAGATGGTTCATATCATAAAATGTTTGTATCTTCAGAAAAGGGGAAACTTAGTTTTAGGTAGCTTGCATGTAATGTTTTTTCCAACACCAAGAGACTCTTCCACTTGTGTAAATGGACAGATTCATACCTCCCAGTGTGTTTATTCTCCTGTCCTAAATGATTTTTGTTTTTGAATTTTCCCTTTCTTTTACCACTTTGTTGTCCCATAGGGTTAAGGAGAAAAGCTAACTTTGCGAGGAGGAATATTGCTACAGGATGAATATGAACAATCAAAGTTACGTGGGGTTTGTTGGCAAAGATTTCCCATTGTTTCAGTTAGTATTTTTTTTAGTTAGAAGAAAATGGTTTCTTGGTTACTTTGGCCAATAAAAACTGTTCTGTGTTTTTGGCCATTTGGTAACTCTGCCTGTCATCTGATTATTTGTTGTTGTTTGTTTCCCTTCCTGAGAGCCTAATCTGAAATACAAAATTCAAATTCATTAGAATTCAAATTAGAATTCAAATTCAGGCCTCAACTGTGTTTGGATTATAATGTAATTCCTCACTTATAAACTGTTAAATGGAGCACTCTTATCAGCTGGCAACTGGAGCACAAGTCAAGCTGCAAACAAATTTCATAGAATTTTTTAAAATTATTTTTTAACTTTGACTTGCTTCACCAAGTTAAACAGGAGAGCTTTGGAAGAGAGTTTATTATTACCATATCCGAGATGTGGCAAGGTTCATCTTGCAGAGGTCTCCAGGTGGCTGTTGCTCTCCTGACATCTGAGCATCTCACAATATTTAACGTTTGTCCTTCGTATCTTATGTCACATAACGTAGGGAGATACTAATACCCTCTTTTCACAGCTGAAGAAAATGAGGGTGTAACCGCTGGTGAAGCCAGCTTTAAAAGTAGCTCTTTGTTCTTACCCTGTGCCACTATTTGCTTCTTTTTCACTTGTACCCAGTGGAGGTGGGAGGAAAGAGGGAACTTAAGTCAGTTTTACTGCCAAAGCCAGAGACTCACGAGACAACAAGGTTCCAAGACGTGGCCTCACTGGTCAGGGTCACACAGGAAACGTGTGGGAGAGGTGAATTAGATAGAGGTTTCCTGAGCATCAATTTCACATCTCGAATTAGAGGGCTTCTGGCACGCAGGACTGGGAGGTCGGGCTGTGTGCTGGGCAAGTCTCTAGTTGCAGGGCAGACATCTGCTGAGGCCTTGGCTCGGCTTGTGTCCCAGGTGTTCTGGTTGCACTGGGTCATGCAGCAGGTCTCCTTCCTGATGTGGGATCCTCTGTGCCAAACATAGCTTTTCAGCAGATCCTAGATCTGCCAACTGTTGCATCTGATGTGGTCTCATGCAAGCTTGCAAGAGACAACAGTGCCGTGCAGCAGGTTTAGAGGTGTGGCTACTGTGGGAGGGCCAACCAGGAGAGCAAGTCTCTTGGGAGGTCCACGAGTTGTGGCATCTTTATGTCCAAGGGTGTGTGAAGAGCAAGTGCCCAAGGATATGTTCCAAAGCTGTGTTCCTGGAGGATGTTCAGCAAAGACCTCTTCCTTCCTTTTCGTAGGTTTTGGGACAGCCTAGCATGTTCCTCTGGAAAAGCATTATTTGCAAGAGACAAGCTGTATACTGTGTTCCAAAGTCAGGTGTGGGGAAGGGAAAAGCGAGCAGCAAACTTTCTCCCTAGGCTACAGCAGGGAAAGCTGGGAAAACACATTTCTCTTTGCAGCTTCTTCTGGACAGAGATGGCCTGTGATACCTCATGGCCTTGGGTGTGGAACCACACATTACTCTGTTTGGGGCTAAATTATAAGGTGTATTTCTGTCCTAGAGCTGGCAGCAGAGGAAAGAAGGAAAGTCCCAGAGAACCCAAGTAGAGAGAGCATGTGTCCCTTTTGACTTCTCCGTCCTAGGAGTAGTTGAAGTAGGTTAGCCAGTGGGGAATGGGATGAGGCACAGAGCTCTAAAGATTGCACAAGTTCTGTGGGGTGAGGATTGCTCACGATGGGTCAGGTGCATTTGAACCTCCGAACAAATGAATCCTGCTTGGTATTGAATGGCCTGTGCAGTGTGCGCTGGTGGCTGGGAGGAGAGTGAGTCAGTGCAGGAGCACTGGAAAGTCTCACTCAATCAATGGTCAGCACAGCTATTCTCTGAAGCACTTCAGCCTGAAGTGTGTGCCAGGAAGAGCTGTTCTGGGTCATCTTTGTACTCGGTCCTTGTTTTTTTTCTCCCCATCTTGACGTCATTTCTGTGCGTTTGCTTGCTTCAGTAAAAAGGGCGCTTACAGACTTGATTAACTGTTCTTTATTTATAGCACTGTATGTTCAATCCCTGCAGATCAATGGAAGTGCTGACCTGAAACCATTCAGGAAATAGGGGTGAATAGAGCTCCATAGCACAGGATGCAATGTAGACTTTGAGGCTTGTTCTTTAACTGCACTCTGTCTACTAGAATTGATAAACTGCAGCCCTACTCCAGAGAACTCTTTGAGCTGGCACTTGCTAAAGGACATGTTGTCACCTCCAGACTGCCTCTTTCAGGTGCCAGCACAGCCTTTGTGCAGTGAACTGGATCAAGGAACTGATCTAGCCGAAATGATCTTTATTTTTCAGACAGGCTTGTTCCCAGTCTGGTTCACTGCACAGTGCCACACACACCGTGCCAGTACATGGAGGGAGGCTCCTTCCTCTCCAGGCAGCGCCAGCTTATGGTGTTCACTGAGCTGTAATGCTACATGGCAAATTGTCTGATTTTCTTGCAATAATTTAACTGCTTCCAGTGCTCTTAGGATTGCCAAGCATATTCTCTCTGGGCAGATAACTTGCTTTCCTTTTATTGCAAGGTGATGACACTTATGCTATAGAGCATCACCTTTCAGCTGGGAAGGTCATTATGCACCACAGCAATTAATAAGAGCAGAAAGTAAACATGAATGACTCCTGGGGTCTGCATGTGGCTGCTGACGCTGGTTACTAATCAGTAGTCTACCTTCCCTCATTAAAGTACTGTCTGCTGATGGATACTGTGGTGTAACAAGCTACTGAAGTGTAAGAGCTATTCGGAGAACTGACCAGCCTGTTGAATTTATGGTGTGTCCTTAAGCAAGTGTTTGATTTTGAAAAGGATGATCCTGTTTACATTGTAGTATCTCCTGAAATTATGTTGTGGATCAGGCACAAATCATTTGAAGACAGGTATATCTCATTGCTGGCTTCTCATCCTGCCTGTTTGTTGACACTCTGAACTGTTGCACTTCTGGCTTGTTCTGGTGAGCTCTCTTTGGAAGACTGGAGGATTGTCCTGCCTGAGGGGAAGATGATTGTCCTAAAACCAATCTGTTCTTGAAACAAGGGGGAATCTTCTCCTTGTCTGAACTCTTACCTGTACAAACATCTAAACTGCTGCTACTGTTGGGAATATGAAAGAGCCTTTGAGCTCTGCAAGTGCACTTCCTGCTCCCCGAAGCCTGCTGGCTCCTGTCCTGTTAGGGAGAGCTCTCTGGCCTTCTCTGGGACTGCACTGGGGCCTTGTGCAGCTCTCACAGGTTTCCATGAAGTCGGATGACCACCACAGCCTGTTGAAGGCTTTACAGGGGCTGTGGAAAGGCTAAAGGGAAGAAAAAGCCTGAGATTTCAGCCACTGTGAAACAATCTCAGGCTATAAAGGCCTTGTGCTCTTTGCAGCGTTTTCGTTACCTCAAGCATCAGTCATGGGATCTGCTCTGTGAATTTTCTTGTGACCTCCAGGCTTCCCTCTCTCATCTGCCAGCCCTCCCCTCAGTGCTTGGATAGTCCTTTGATGCTAGTCAACACGGACATGAGCATGGGTGCTGCAAGGGATCTTCCCTGCACTAGGAGGGAATGGTTCAAAACGAACATCTGATGCCCAACCGCCATTGAAAAATGATTCATTTGCGTGCTCCTATGCAGGCCACTTTTGCCTAGGAGCGATCTGTCTTGCAAGCTGGGTCTCCTCACCTTCAGTTGAGGACTTTTCTCAGAGATGCAAAGTCCATGTAGGAGGAGATACCACTGGGGTGGGACTTGAGCTGGAGAGTTACAAATTATCATTATGTTCTCCCCTGCTCACAGACCTACAACCTAATGCTAGCTTTTCAATTTCTTCCAGTTGTGTAGCTGTTCTCAATCAAACTTGAGCAGAGATCAGTGCTAGAGGATGGTCTGCCTGGCTTTTCATTCCTTGTCAGGGTTCTTCACTCCCTATTGATGGGGACCCTCTGTGTCCCTATTGCTCAAGTTTTCCATTCATGTTATAGAAAGGTTTCTGTTACAGGATCACCTGTAACTTCCTGAGGGAGATGTCTTACTTTTTTTATTTAATGAGTGCCCTCGGGGCTTGCCAGAAGTTCTAAAACTGTGCGGTGTTACTCTCAACTTTGATTTCTTAATCACCTGTACCTGTCTCCAGTCAAATCCGTATTCTGCAGCAGCATATGTGAGAAACGAGGCTGGTTTTTTGTCTGCCTGATTGGTATGACATTTTGCTCTGCCATGTTCCAGTGTAGTGACAGAAGGTGACTCAAAGGTGATACTGAGATCTTTGTCTTCCTGCCTGAGATCGGATAAATATTCAATCTCCTCCATTGCTTTAGGTTCCAGGCTTTTTCAGCTGCATGTCAGAGAGCGTCAGCCTAAGCCCAGCTGAATCTCTCCCCAGCATGCATTTAAGAGGAGACAAGGCTGACATCACAGAAAGACGTTTACAGGTAGCTCCATAATAGATCCACATGCATCAAACATCTGAAGCTGTCTGCAGGCAGGACATCTGAGAGGACCTCAGAGCTATTTTTCAGGATTTGGGAGGTGCTGAGGTTAGTCATTCTGTTGCAGTCTCCAAGGACGGCTACAGAACTTCCTTGTTCCCAGACCAAACCTGGGGTTCCCTTTCAGATGCATTCTTGATCTTGTGGCTGAGACCCATGATTAATGCCCCTTCCCCATCCTCACTTCGTGAAGGACAACCAGGGGTGTACACAAGGATTTAGCCCAGGTAGTTTGACAGCACAAACCTGACTAAGTTTGGTCCTAGACCCTGCCTTATCAAAAGGATCACCTCTAAGTGCTGATTCCGTACCTTTGTCCAGAACTGGATCTGAATTTTCTAGCCAAACGTAACATTCCTCTGGCAAGGAAGTTGGATGCCTCTTCACCCCATATGGGGGTACTCCTGGCACCCTCCAGTAGAGAGAATCCCAGAGGAATGTAGCAAACCTTTCTATCTGTGCTAGGGCCATCTCTCTCAATATCACCACAGTTTTTCACTTTAAAAGATCTCCAGTAGTTCTCTAAAGCAGAAGTCTCTGCTTTCTAAAGTATTTGCTCTTCATCTTTGCATGTTTTTCCAGCTTACCCACCCTGCCGATATTCTTAAAAGTGTTAAAGCAGACTTTCCTTTCTTGTCTGGGACCTGATCAATCTAGTGTTGTGTCTTGTGTGTCAACCTTCCAAGCTCAAAACTGCACGGTCTCTTTAAAAGACAGGAGTTTTTTGTTGTTTTCTTGTTTGTTTGTTTTTTCTGGTAAGTCACCAGTTGGACTGATCTTAAATTGCTGTTAAAGATGGTTTATGAGTTTTGACAAACCAATGGGGATAATCTGACTCTCTCTTTCTCTCCCATCATGGTACTTCCACACAGAGGTATGTCCTCCTTCTGGCCCGCTTATACTAGCAGGATAAGATCAGCTGGAAGGATTCTTGAAAAGTAACTTTAGTATCATCATTTATGACTTCTGAAACACATAAAAATATTACAGAGAAGGCCAGTTTGGAACAAATACTTTCTTGGCCTGTAGACAACCCTGTTCCCGAGTATCACAAGTTATAATGGCAGTGTGTCAGGTCTGTTAATCAGAAATGGAAAAATACAGCACAACGAATCTCCAGGGCTGCCAAGTCAGATGTGTGCCTGTGATACCAAAAGACCTGGCACTTCCCAGGAGGGGGATCATCCAGATTCAGAAAGGTAGCCAAGGATCATGGAAACCTATTGCGTTGCTCATTGTGCTGAGAAACACCCATGACCCTCCTATGCAGGAGCACCCTACAGCACGAGCGCTCACAGGGCCAGAAACATTGTTCTGTGCTCGTGCTCCTTTTCAGCACCTGTAATTTAAAAGCAGGCGAGCAGCTGAGTACACACCGGATACATAAAAGATAAATATCATTCAAAACATAACCTCTGTCCCGTTTGACAGGTTCCACAATCTGTCTGTTGCTTATCTTAGCAGGCTGTCCAGGATCAAAGAGCTTGTAATGTTCCCTGACCACAGGCTTTTTAGGACGGGGCTACAGCACCAAGTACACGTCCTGCTCGTAACTTAACACAGGGTGATTATTTATGGACCTGCTTTTTGGGAGAGTTTGTCTGGTTCAGAGGAAATAGGCCGTGTTTACTAGGAACCTGGCTGGCAGGTGTTTCCTGTGATACCTAGAAAAACCCTGAGTCAGAAAAACTGAGTAGTTATACAAACACGAGATGGATGCTAAAATTCAGTCTTCTTACGTATAACCTAATAATCTTTTCTGCTCTAGCCTTTTTTTTAACAGCCAGTGACTCAAGGTACCTTGATTTAAAGATGTGACTGTTCAAACACGCAATGACTGGTTTTGATTGCCGTGCAGAAAATCACAGCACTGGAAAAACACTTGAAAATTTTTTGGAAGCTGCTGCTTTCTGTGGTGGTGAAAGCCACTCAACAAAGTTAAACTATTAGGCTTACTGTACTTATGTCTTCTCATAATATAAATGCCACAGGAGGTAATGAAGGGATGGTAGCTGAACCATTTTGGTTATGGAAGAAAAAATGAACGTGCTGCAAGCTGTTGCTTTTTGGGGGTTATGTGAACGAGGCTTGAAGGCTGTTAGATGCAGACGTGTTACAAGAGCATGAAAGAAATCTTCCTCCAGCAGCTGCTCTGCTTAGGCATCAATTTACTTGAAAAATAAACAAACAGCAAACCATAAAAGCAAAGCCATGTGCTGTTCAGTGGCTGTTCAGTACGTATTTTGGGGAACAAACGGTTGCCTACCTCAACTAGAAATAGCGAAAGGGAATTCCAGTTCACTCGAGGAAGTTGAGCTACTGCCCCAACAGGCATTTTGCCAGCTATTGCTCACAACAACGCTCAACTGTGTGTTGCCACCCAAATTTATTTGGGTCCCTGCGCTATTCCACTCAATAAGGTGAGTACAAGTTGTCCTATGCTATCGGGGCAGAGGATTAAGGACCGTGCTTTCCACTGGTTTCCTTCGTTCCCCTCTCCAGGCATTTTTCTTTCTGTGATAGCCTTAACTTGAAGAATTTCATCGTCCATTGAATAGTTCCTCAGAGGAAGGATGTCTCAAGGGGCAGCAGAAAGTGCTGCGCAGGTCCAGCTCTCATCTAGGAGGATACAACCACCTTCTCCTTTCCTCAGCTCTCTGAGGTCTGCAGAAAGGGCCTTGTGGCTGCAGGTGGTGAGGGTTGACAGGGCCAGTGAGATGAGCTCCGTGTTGCTGCTGTAAGGATGGGGGAATAGGCACACAGCCTCACATTTTCACCAAGTCACTGAAAATACTTCACTTTTAACATATTCTGTATTCCATCACCTTCAGAATCAGGCCACTGACTGCAGAATAAGTTAGGAAATGAATCGGTGCTATCTACGTGCCCATAAGACAGGGGTCTAATTCCATCAGACACTATTTCTGGGTGCAATGTTCTGATCTAAACAGAAGGAACCAACCCAGTTCGTTAACAGTCCTTCAGCGTGTAGCAGGGATGCTTCCTGTCTACTGATAGCAGGGCTCTTTGTAAGTCTTTTCCTGAGGACAATGAAAGAGTGAACGTGCTTGCTATAATGTTCAGTGTGGCTAAGGACTTCACAAGGCTGCCCTTGAAAGCAGTACCTTATTAAAAAACTGTGAAACTAATGACATCTGAGAAATGGAAAAATCTTACTTTGTAAGTGCTAAGTTTGGAGGCAAGAAAGAAGAAATCTATGCAAGGAAGCTATCTGCCGTAAGTACAACCAGAGTGCACTGTGCCATGAGAGAAAAGGCAGAGCTAAAACCAGGACACACTTCAATACATCTTGGGTACGTGTTTGTAAAGTCTCCAGATGATGCAAAAAATCCAATTTCCTCAAGGACAAAAGAAAGCAGTAAAACATTATACAGGGTGGCTAAAGAGAAAATACAGTCTGTGAGCACGTTTCCCTGTTGGTTTCTGCCTCAGTGTCCAGAGTAGCGTAACAAGCAGCAGTGGCTGTGGTAGAAGGACAAAGAACTGGATACAGTTTGGAGGCCTGCTCGGGCGTTGGTTTGGTTGTGACTTTACAAGACTAGAGTTACCTACACGGAGGTAGCCCTTCTCTACCTTAATTTGTGGGTTAATGTTAATTGATTTCTGGACAAATATACTAATATGTCCTTGAGTGGATATTCCTGTAAAATGAATGCCTGGAGCAGGAATATTTTGTTGACAGTAAATAGTATTGATTGGCTTTGTCTTTACTGTATGGATCTGAAAGAAAAACCTTTATGGACTACTCTCTGAGATCCACTGTCCAAAATTCATGCTCCTTTAATTTAGCCTCTGGGGTTGTAATCTGGCCTTTGCTGTGTAAGTTGCAGCATGACATTTTGCTGATCTTGTAATCACAAGGCTACCGTCAGTGGTAATGTCAGCCTGAAAAGGTTAAAACCCTCGCTGCCTTTTTACCATCGTTCAGCATCAAGTAATTTCCACGCTGAGGAACTGGGAGAGGGTGGGCTTACAGGGGGTGCTTTGTGCCCCAGTTGCAGCTCTTGCTTCTGGCATGTTGGGAACTGAACTGCCCCGTGAGGACTGTGTCCAGAGCGTAAGAGTTTGTGCCAGTCCGTTGTTGCCTAGTAATAATTAGTGAAGCACAGCAGTACTGTTCTCTCACTTTCGTTAGGGCTAGCTTCTTGTTCAGAGGTCCAAAGAACGCACGCAGGCACATCGCTCACCTGAATGCCATCTACACCAAATTAAATACCATCTCCAGAAAACAAATGAACCCAAATATCAAAAAATACCCACCTAGAGTCATTGAAACATAATTATTAAAACCTTTTATGTTAATCTACAGTACAATGTAAATTGTTCCTTTCCATTAAATTTTGAAATACACTAGGTTACATCATTTAAATAATCATATACTTTTAGGTTCACTATTAGTGGTAGCAGAGCTATATTTACATATAGTTCTGGAATATTTCAGATGCAGCATTACGTTCCAATCCCTAAGTCAGTTAAATAGCAGACTTTAAGTGGAGAGATACTGCTCTTCCACAGGATATAGACACATTTGGATTGTATGTGTGAGAGAGCAAGAACGCCACTTATTCTTGTCTGCTTTTTTTGTTTGCTGTGTGCATGCAGCTGAATCTGAGCAACTTGATACCTACATAGTTTGGATTAAAGACTTTTCTTTTTAAGCAAGTATTTTCACTGAATGTACAGAAATGATTAATGAAATATAATCCTTAGGAGTAGTGGTGGAAATCATCATTTTCTCCAACCTTCCTCCTGTGTTGGATAATACTGCACCTATTTTTGACCCTGACTTTACCTAATGCTGATGAAATATAGTCAGTGGTGGAAACCTTTCTCATGTGGTCAAGATCGGCTTTCAGCGCAATCCATGCAATGGCAAACATCATACACCATTCTCCCACAGTGCAATATTAACAAGTAAAATTCAGTATTTTCCTCCAGAAATTTGCTCTTCAAGGGAAGTGTATTTGTGTTTATACATCAGCCTCAAACAGGCTGTGAGTCCTAAGGCTGGAGCCCAGAATTAGACTGTAACATTTGGTTCCAGTGCTGCAAAGAATTACCAGTTGACATGGGCCAAGCTCCTTCCCATGTTCTCCATGGAGGAAAACCCAGAGCAAGTTCAAGCCACTGAGCCTCTCGATGGGCCCTGCACGAGGCCCAAGTAAAGCTGAGCCTCTCCTGTGCGCTGACTGTGCTGGACTCAGGGCCGAGTGTGAGGAGTGCTGATCATGATGTTGGGCAGTGCGTTCCGCCGCTTCTTCCAGGAGCCCAGCTCCCTTGAGTACCGCCTGATCTGCCTGAACCAATGGTGAGTCCTTGCCCGGTCACTGTCCCGGAACACAAACGCCTCCCGCCTGATCTCAATGAGTTCAAAAGTGTCATCACAGTCGGGATCTGTGGAGACGACGCAATTACTCAGCCTCAAGGGCTCCCTGAGCAAATGGAACTTCCCGTTATTTTTGTCCCTGATGAGCACCAGCACAGCATCTTTCACAGGCCCTGGCTCAGCTGATTCCAGGCTGGACTCGGACATGCGCTTCATGTTCACAAGCAGGAGGACCTGCATGTTCTGGAACTTCAGGGTCTTGCTGCCTTTCTTCACCCACTGGCCATCAGGGGGCTGGGCCAGCTGCAGAGGCCCCTCCATCACAAATTGCGTCTCCTCCCGCAGCCAACCTACAGTTTTGAGGGCAGTTTCTCTCATCTCGATGTTGATGACTTCTCTTTTCTTTTTGCTGTCCTGGCGAAAGGAGCGGAGGGTCCACGTGTTTCCCTCCTGCTTGGTTTTCATGTTGATGTGCTCCAAGTGGGATTCGATGCGGCTCTTGGCCTCCCGCAGGCTGCCATGATCCGGGTGGTACTCGGTGGTGGCCTTGATGATTCTGCTGAGCAGCAGAGGGTACTTGGTGACTCTTTGCAAAGGGGCCATCAGGAAGGATCTCAGGTTCATCCGCCGCAGTGCTGTGTTGTCATTCTGGGAGACATTGAGAAATATTCTGTAGGGATTTAAGAAGAGGGAATGAAATGGTGGCTGTCCTGCCAGCAGATGCTGCATCCAGAATACAAATGAACAGTGTGGTGCTGATAGATGCTGAGCTCCACAACCCTCCTTTGGTTTTAACAGCTTTGTGAATTCTGCCTTCTCAAAAACTAAAAATTTCTGCAGCTGTGCTCAGCTGCGGAGCAGCGACAAGGTGCCTGGGATACCAACACGTAACATCCTAGCCGTCTTCTCTTAAATTCTTTTAAAATAACAAGGCTGTGATCTTTCCCTGGTACACACTGACATAGGCCTGAGGCAGATACATCAGCTTATATCAGATTACATTAATTCGTAGTTCCTTTCATCATTAGATTACAAAGTACTCTGAACAGGAATTTGGTAGCGTCATCATTTTATAGCTGTTGCAGTGGAAACAGAGAAGTGACTCGCCCAACTTTGTCCAACAGGACGGGGCTACAGATGGAAAATAAACTCAAGTCATATGTGCTTCACACAGTGGCTTAAGCCTGGTGCCAAGACAGAGGTGTTCTAAGCTGGATGTTTTTGGGGGAAATTTCAGCCCAGTGGTTAGTGGGCAAACGCTGGAACCACCAAATGCAGTATACAGCTGGGGACCAACTGGATATATCAAGGACTGAATATGTTTTAGAGAGTAAATTACTCTCTTCGCCCCAAGAGAGCATCTCGTGAATGACGAATATTAGGTAGCATCAAAAACTTTGATTTAACTGAGATGAACAAAGGCTTCACCCTCTGGCTGGTGCCTTTCACTCCCCAAAACCTGGAAAAATACTCTCAGCCCTTTTCTTAGCAGAGCAACTTTTCTCACCTGAGCAACTCTTTCTCCTTCTCCAGCGCGTTCAGCATATTGACGGAGGAGGACTGCTGAAGACAGTAGGTCTGAAAGGCTGGCAGCATGTTGACGAACTCCAGAAAAACTTCACCGATGCACACAGTCATCAGGTCATCATCACCCTGCAAGCACGCAACACAACCCTGCTGGATTGGCTCAGGAGACATGGAAGCACAGAAGGGATCCTGCAAGACCCCTCACTCAGTCGTATCAACATTAACTTACATTAACTAACATTAACTTATTTGGTGAATACCAGGCCAAGGATGGAACTGGGCTCACCCTTTGGGGCAGACAGGCAGTCCCTGCAGGTCTAGGGGTAAGCCGTGTATGGGGAGGGGAAGGAAAGCTTGTCTAACTGCTCACTCTGCTACGCAAGCAGAGACCTATGTCACACTGCTTCTGCAGGCTCAGCCAGGAATCTGGCCTTGGCAGACTAGGGGCTCAGAGGACAGAATGAGCCTGCTAGGCAGGAGAGTGCACTGGGGCCCTTCTTGCCTCAAGGTCTACCATAAGGTTAATGCAGCAAGGAATAAATTAACAGCACTTGAGGAAGAAATGGGTAGACCTGTAACTCAGATAACAGACCTGGCGTTTAACAGTTTGTGCATTTGTTCTGAGCAACTGGACTAGCTAGGAAGCAGAGGCTCCTTCAGTTGTGCTCTTACTGGCTACTTTGAGGCCTAAGTGAAAAATTAATGTCATGGAAAAACTCTTCTGATTTTTGGACGTGTAATAAAATAAGGAGAATAATAATAATCTGGTGCCACGTAACGCTTTTAGCTTTGTCTAGGTGTACGCTGACAGGCTCTGCAGTTACTGCTCATTTCAGCAGTGAGAGAGGGAGCAGTTCTCTGGCTGCTGGTGGCCTTTCAGTGCAGTGCGGAGCCCTTACTGCAAAGGGCAACGAGGAGACAGAGAGGGGGAGAGGAACCATGGAAACCAATAGCTGTTTGTAGGACCCATTGTCTCAATAAATTATTCATGGAGGATATCATGACTGCAATACACAGCTGTCCTCACTGCGCCAGGCATAAGACAGTGGTTGTCAAGGTTGCCAGTTTTGAGTATATGTGTTACTCAGTCTGACAGGGTTTTGGAGGGGGAGATGAGAGATGTGTTTCCTGGAGAAGAAAACATCCTGGCAAAACTGATACAGCAGCAAAGAGGTTGTGGTTCCACAAAGGAAGGAGGGAATGGAGCTGTTTATCTGTCCTTTGCTGTGACTGTCTGCTGCTCTGAAGTCTTATTTATATTGCTCTGACCACCATGCTGATGGGATAGAGAAGTCCCTTGTACAAGGCAGGGTTCATCAGTAGAAGCAGCTCATGTACAGCAGCTATGCTGTAGGTGCACACTGTCAACAGAGCAGGGAGCACCCGTTGCTGGCCCCAGCAGCCAGCCTGGAGGCAAGCTGCAATAAACTGCAACCCCCAAGGCAGGCATGTCCAAGAAAGCTTGAAAAGAGCCAGCTCAGGGTTGGAGAAGAGCACGATCAGCTAGCTTGCTCCCCTTCACCTTTCTGGTGGCCAGATCAAGCTGAGCTCTGTGCCCCCGTGATCATACTCTTATCAGTGTCCAAGCTAACTGGCTTAAAACTAATTTTGGTAACAGGCCAGAGCTGGGCCGATGGTCTGCTAACATCAGTGGCATTACCACAGCAGAGGAACAAGGGCAGCAGCTCTGAACTGGCAGAGGCCTACTGAAATCACTTGTTTACAACAGCTGAGGGAGCAAGGGATTGGGCAGATGACCAGAAACCAGGAGTCCTACCTCCTCATCCCTGCTCTGTACTGCCAAGACCTGGCCCTGTCTCTGCCTAGTCCAGCCCCCATGGAGCAGGCAAGCATCATACCTGGTCAAAAGCCTGATCGATCTCCTCCTGGAGTATCTCCAGGAAGTTCTCGTTGAGGTCGATGAGCTCCTGGATGTTGCTGAAGATGCCGAGGAGCTGCTCCTGGCTCAGCAGCCCAGCTGCCTGCATGGGGAGGTAGAACTCCTCTTTGATGATGCGCAGGTCCTCTCCGTAGCTGGCCTCTGTATTGACAAACTCCAGCACGGACTCCTTGCGCTCCGTCCTGCGCTTGCAGCACTTCTCGCAGAGGTCAGCCCGTCTCTGGTTGCAGTTCTGTGCATCTGTCTCCACTGGGAGATCCCTCTCTCCGCAGTCGGTGCAGGGCCGATGGGCTTCCCAGGCCTGCAGGGAGCTCAGCATTTCCGCTGCCCTGTTCCTCCACTTCCTGGCTGGTGTCCTGCCAATACCACTGTCTGCCCTCTCCACCTCTACTGACCTGGTCCGGGTGGCCTCGCTGGGATCTGGGTTGTCCCGGTCTTCGTTCACACCAACAATCCCACTGTCCGTGCTCAGGCTGCTGACGTTGCTCCAGTGGTGCCTGGAGCGGAGGGAGCCACGTGGGGCACGGTGCGTCTCGTCAAAGCTGCCACCATGGCCAAGGTTAGCTTTTGCTACCACTGGACCTGAGAACAGACATAAATCATTACAGGCTCTGCCAGCTGCTCACAGCTCACCTGGGAAGTTCAAGCTGGCACAGCTGTGAGCATTAGGAACCCCAGGGGGGAAAATTTGGTGGAAGCAGGGCTGTAAGCCATCTCCTCTCCTGTTTTGCTACTGGGAAAAGGGGGTCAGAAACAAATGACCTCCAGGTGACACCTGGGGCCTGATGCCCCTGCACTGCCTATGCCTGTGAACTCGCTTGGGCTTCCTCTCCCCTGGCCATCTGCCAGGCAGGGACAGAGACACAGCAGAGTATATCCTGATTTCTTGTACACCAGGGTTAAATCCAGAATGCCTCCTCTCCCCAGGTCAGTAGAGTTACTCCATATTTACACCAACATAGCAAGGCTCAGTATCTGGCCCATCAGCCCCTCAAAGTGTGCAGAATGTGGGTACCATAGTCCCGCTCCTGCCGGCGCTTCTGTGCATGCTGCCGTGCTGCGGCCGCAATCTTCAGCTCCAGCTGCTTCCTCTTCACGGAGTCCGTTGGCATGGGGTCACTGAAGTGCGGCCGGAGCCGGCACTCTCGCAGGGCCTTGGCACTGTCCGTGTTCTCATGGACGATGTTAGAGCTGGATCGGCGGCAGCCAGGACTGGAGGTCTGCAAGAAAGGCAGCTGGGTTTGGAGTAAGGGGACGTGGACCCACTGCAGGGTGGGGAAAGCAGGGCCTGGTTTGCCATCACTGAATTTCATTTGCCAAAGGAGGGAAAAGGCCATTCATCACTGGTGGAGTTGTAAACCCAGCTCTGCTACATGACCAACCGTCAGGAAATCCGTCTTCCCAGGTCCCTCTGTTTTGCTCAGTCCTAACAGCAGGGATCCCTCTCCCTCTGCCTTTGTACTGCACTGAGCACAGTGGCTCTGTGGTCGCTGGCCCACATCTGTCAAACAGCCAGGAGGAAGTGAACAGCAAAGCTCTGGCTAGGGACCCCCAGAAATGCAAGGTACTAAAGTGGGAATTGGGGGTCCTAAAGCTGGAGCTAGGTCTGTCATCTGAGCTAACTTGCCTCCGTTCTGTGACTATTTTGGTGCTGCGGGTTCAGGAACACCAGCCTTTCAGCCTTACTTTCGCTAGTGGCTTGACTGACTGGGGACTAGAGAAGGAGCCTGGCTGATCTCCCAGGCAGTGCAGCAATGAGGGGCTGGGGGCACAGGGAGGCCCGTGAAGGGGTTATTGCTGGACTCCCTGCAAGAGATGTAGTGGCAGATATGCAGGGGCACATAACTGACTCCTGTTTCATTAACTATACTAAAAAAGGCATTAGAAATCCCATTTTTTTTAACAAAGTTTGATTGATCATGCTCCCAGCCTGCCCAGTTTCCTACAAGGGAGGGATCCTTTAGACCTCTAACCAAAAAAAAAAAAAAAAAAAGAAGACCACTCCTAAGCACATGCCCGAGGTGTAACAGGGGAATTCCTCTCCCTTACGTTCCCTGCAGGTTGAGCGTCACTGGATGCCTCATTGCTTGGCTTGTTCTCCCAGGTCTCTGTTGCCATGGACATCGCTGTGAATTGCTTGCTGTCCTCTGGAGGTGGGAGATTGTCTTTCCTCAGATCACACTGTCCCTTGGCGGTGGATTTGGCAGCAGTCTCAGCATTGCAGCTGCAGGGGAAGAAACAGATTCTGATTAACATCACATGTGCAGTACCTGCAGATCCTGACACACATGAGGCTGAGCAGAAAGCCCAGCTTTGAACAACCGACTGCAACAGTTCAGGGAAAGTTCAGGCAGAAACCTAGACTGGCTGGCATAGATCAAACTCCTGGTTAATTGCAGAGCTGTGCATGTGTTTAGGGACTCTAAACACAGCTCAATTATAGAAGCAAAGCACAAATTGGCTAGTTGCACTCAGGCCAGCATCGGTTTGGGGTATCAAGTCTCAGGTGTTCACATGACATTTTTGTGTCCATAAAACATGAGGTTCTCCCACAGGGACCAGAAAAAAATCCAAGTAGACCATATCCGTGGTCTATTCTGCTACTATTTAAAGAGATGTTGTCAACACAGAAATCATACTGCTCATCTGGAAGAAAGTCACCTGCTAAAAAACCACAATATTTTGATGAGACTAAAGGATTAAAGGAGCTTTCCCTCTGCTTTTCATCTCATATGATCCAAAGCCCACCGAAACCACTGACTGGGTCTTTTGGCACACTTAAGAGTCCTGAGGGGATCAGCAGAGTCTGCTATTCCCACCTGGCAGTTCTGGGATGCTCCTACTCACGGCTGTCCTGCCTGGGGCTGACAAGGGCCTGGCCTGCCTGACTGAGGCAGCCTGTTCCAAGCCCACAGTCCTCTCATTGTAGGTAACACCATCTCTCCAGTCAGAGAAAGGTTGGTGCAAAACCACCAACTTGACAGAGGGAGAGGCTGTAGTTTCTTACACTACTTAGGATTAATTTTTTTTAACGCGCACTCTCTAAGATGCCTTATTTCCATGCATAATGAAGCCTATTTGGAAGAACATCCAGATTTTTCTTTCATTTTGGGCTTCTTTAATTTTTATTGGCTTAGATTCCTTTAAAAAGAAAGGCGGTCAGGCCTGGATGTGGATGCTTCCACACAGAGGGAGCCAGGGTCAGGAACATATTTCAGGTTATGCATGTATTTTATGCTTAACAGAAGTCTCCTATGATAAAATCTCCTTCTTTTTAAAGGCTTCACTTGTAAACTGAGGCTGGTAGGTCATACTGCTAATGTGCAATTCCAACACTGTGAGCTGCAAGCAAACACATGAGGACAGATGGGCATTCTCTTTCCAATGAGCGACAGTTGGCTCCGATAACAAACCATCAGCCAATACTGAAACCACTGAAGAGGGAACAAATCTCCCAGAACACAAACTAGCTCTGTTGTCAGGCCAGAAAAGTTGGTTTGCAACTTTCCAGCTGATGCTTTTTCATCTTTCTCTGTTTATGCTTCCAGGTCCCAGCTGACGCTTCCAGAGGATTTACAATTTTATACAAGAGTTTAGCCACAGCTGTGCACATAACACTGCTGTGATGGCGCAGTGCTAAGAGGAGGCTCCCAGCTTTTGCTTTTTGCTTTGCTACCTCTCTCCCACGTGGATTTGAATTCCCCTCCCCCGGGCCTCTTTTTCCCTGCCTGTAGAAAAGGAATACCAACATCAGTGCTGCACCGGAGCAGTCTGTATTACGAACTGTATTAGATCCCTTACTGGGTTGCAGTAAGAGCACTGCAGACACACAGCAAGGCTGTGGTCCCACGGTACTGTCCTGTGGCCAATCCAGTTTAGGACGTTCCTGTCTCTTTCCTCCCTCTTGTCACCAGCCATGGTTGGAGGTACGATAGTTAGGTAAGGCCTAACTGCGTGGCCACGATCTAAGATCAGTCTGTGAAATGATCTACTCTCCCTCACAGGCACTTATTCCCAACTAGTTCGTTTCATTGATGC